TTAAAATTATTAAATTATTAAAAACTTACTTTTTTTTCTTTTCTTCAAATCAATGTTAATGGTGAAAAAATTTTTTTCCAAAAAATCATAAAAGGCTTTATTCCAGTTTTTGACATTACTTTTATAATCTCTGTGTGGTTATTGGTTGCTGAGATATCGATGATCAAAAACAAGAGGATCTTTTTTCATTTAAAGTCAGATATCTCAGCGACAAATTAACGTAAAAGGAATATGAAAAAAGCATATTAAAGGTGAACAAACATGCTATGCAGCCTATGCATTGACTTAACTAAAAAAAAAACTCCACACGACCGTGGACCAAAAACAAAAACATAAAAATTTAGAATTGTTTTTTCTTGCGCTGTAGTACAGAAAAAATATCTGCCAAAAGATCTCAAAACTAGAAACTTAAAGCTTCAAAAAAGTTTTTTTTTAATCTAGTTACGATCATTTTTTGATGAGTTACAGCATTTCAAAAATCACCAAAAAATGAAGGAAAATGTTTTGTTCCTTTAATTTTTTGGAGTAGTATATATTTAATTTTTTTAATGAATATTGTTTGGTTTTGTGTGCAGGGACCTATAGAATCATTGCATGTCGCCTACACGACAATATGATGACATCCGTCACGTTACCCTCAACTTCTGGTCCCTTACACGGCGGATACTCCTCAGTAGCCGAGGAAACAACAAGCAGCGAGCCCGAGTTCGAAACACCTCGTCCAGTGAAACGTTGTTTAGTAACACCACTAACCGATTCATGCAAGAAGCGGCGAAAACAATCGACACCAGTCCGAATTTCAGCAGCCGAATCCGACGTTCATATAGAAGGTAAGCCAAGTTCGACCTCTCCCGAGCCCGAGCTGCAGTGCCCTGTGTGCCAATTATACTTCACGAGTCCTGAGCAACTTCAAACTCATGTCGTATCTGAGCATTCTGCGCTCGAATGCAAGAAAGAACCGGAAGAATTCGCGCTGAATCCGTCAGAAAACAACGCAGCGGCGCACCAGGAGGTGCCATGGATGAACGAGCTGCAGGGCAAAGAGTGGATCAATCCGAGTTTGCACGGCTTGCCCTTCAACCCCACGAATCCGATGTTCATGACCTTACCTCAATTCGCGCAACCCGAGAACATGCCCAGACAACCGATTCGAATTTTCAATCCGGATGCGTATTGTGACTTGTGTAACAAGGAGTTTTGTAACAAGTATTTTTTGAAGACTCACAAAGCCAATAAGCATGGCATTTATTCCGATCCTCCCTCATCAGAGCCTCTAGTGAATAATGTAAATATTGCTTCGTATGCTGGAACAATTAAACTCCCAACTTCCGTGCCAAGTGTAGAAATATCAACTGTTAAAAGCGAAAAACCCGCCAATATTATCAATCCATTCAACAACTTGTTCCCCAATCCTTTCTCAAATAAATCCTTTCCGCAGAAAATCAAACCGAATCTCCCCAACTTATACGAAAGTGAATCAAATGAAAATGTTCCTAATTCAAATGGTTTCTCATCAAACTGTGAAAGTGATAAAGTATCGCCAGATGACCAACCAACTGAAGAATCTTCTAGTCCTAGAAATATACAAACCGAATCTACCTCATTTCAAAAAGATTCTGAAGGAGGAATCTACTACATTTCCCAAAGCAAAATGTCTCCAGGCAACGATATCGAAATATCCAATCGCCTCAAAAGAATCGGTGTTATGAATCCTAAAGCATTTTGTGAGATTTGTTGCAAGGAATATTGTAATAAATATTTCTTAAGAACCCATAAAATGAAACGTCACGGTATCTACATACCTGACGATAAAGATAGAGACACTAAACTCGAAGGAAGTGGCAATTTCCCATGGCAAAACAACATGCAAACAAGTCCTCTAAACTTAATAATGACAGAACAATCAAACCAAGATCGTAAAACTACCTCACCATCTGACATCAGTTGTGACATATGTGGAATCAAATTCCAAAACGCGAGTCTATCCCAACTACACAACGTGAGTGTTCATTCGAAAATGTACCCCAAAGAAGAGGAACACCAAGACCAACAACAAATCGGCGAAGAATCAAAAAAAGAAACGGCGACAACCCAAGAAAAACCAATAAACGCGGAAGCCATTAGCGAAGATTTGCAAAAACTACAAACAATGATTTTACAATTGAATGAACTCGACGTCAGTAAAGTATGCACGACTTGCAACGCTTGTAACAAAGAGTTTGAAAATCGTTATTTTTTACACGCCCACATGATGACAGAACATGGAATATTACTCGAAGACGTTACAGACGCTGATAAACCTGTTGAGTCAGAAAATAGCTCTAATAACAATACCATGTGTGATTTGTGTGGGAAAGACGTTCAAAATGTTGAAGAAATGAAAAAGCACTTGCTTGAATTCCATCCTAATCAACAAACCAGCACCGATAACAGCGTCAAAGACGAGTTTAACGGATTTAGCACTCCGGAAAAAAGCGTCAACAGGATACCTGTATCAAGTGCTGAGCGTCGAATTAGCATGAACGTGACACCGACTAGTAGTTATTGCGACATTTGCAATAAAGAGTTGTGTAATAAATATTTCATGAAGACGCACATGCAAAGAATGCATGGAATCGAGATCGAAAACGGCGCGCAAATTGGCGGTGTTATTTGCGATATATGCAATAAGGAGTTGTGCAGTAAATATTTCCTCAGAGTTCACAAGCACAATACTCATGGGATTGTCGAATACGGAACGAGTCTCCTCCAACCGAGGAAGAGCGAAGGCGAGACTGCTCACATGCCACCTGAACCGGATCCAGCACTAAAACCTGCAGATTTAGCCGATTTGAGTCATCGCTACTTCACTCATTTCACGGAAGTTTGCTCGATTTGTAGCCGACGTTTTCGCAGTACGAAATGGTTGAAGGCTCATTTATTGAGCGACCATGGCCAAGCCGGTGCCGAAAAATGGGCCGAATTAGAACAACAACTCCAACAGAGCATCGGTCAGCATTCGAAAACTGGGATTAAAAGTGAACGTAGCAGTCCCACATTGAAAATCCCAAACGGTGGCCAAGAACGTAAAGAAGTCGGGATTCAAAATGTCCTATCGAGTTTGTTCGGGGTTGACGAATCCAGTACAAAAACTTATTCATGTTCCTTTTGCCCTTTTACGACTCCTCTCCTTCCGCTACTATTCGTGCATGAAAGATCTCACACGATGTCATCGGATGGCGCACCTCTAAAATGCCCCGTGTGTGCCCAAAGCTTCCTGCAGCCAGAACTGTTGCAGCATCATATGTTTGCTCAACATCCGTTTCTTCCCTTACCGCCGTTCTTTAACGGAAACGAGAATCCTGGCGAGACGTCCAAGGAGCCGTCCGAGGGTGTCGCCGATGACGACGGTGACGCCGCCAAGAGTAAGAAGAAGGGAAAGGGGAAGAGGGCCGAGCTGTCGCCGGAAATCGGTCAAAGTCTGAAAGATGTTGCGAAAAGGGCGCAAGTTCCTGCTGCATACGCGTTGCCTCAGGGGGGCGAGGATGCGGGGTATGTGATGCAAGCGTTCCTGCTAGAGGAGGCTGCTCCCGAGAGGAGGCTCGTACCGGCCGTGGTGTTCCTGCCGGTGTTCCAAAAACAGCCCGCACCTCTCACCGTTACATTCACTCTCACCCCGGCCTAAGCAGTTTCCTACACGTAGTTTTGCATAGATGTGACATATTTTTTTAAGAAACTATCGATGGCGATTCGACGACACCTGTGATTTTTGATTAATTTTATTTGATTATATTGTATAATCTTAAAAGTATATATAAGCGTATTCCTATATTTGCAAGAGGCCTCATATATTATGGGGAACATATGAGCACATATTTTTATGCAAATACCGGAAAGACTGAGTGAAATTTTATATAGTCTGTTGATTTTCACTTTAAAATATCGAGATACTGATGTTTTGTACGATAGAAAGCTTTAGGTGATGTTTAAAGAAGTTCCTATTTTATCTCTCGATATACTTATTCGTTCACAAGTGTGTATGTATTGAGTTGTTAGATGTAGCTTGCTCAACAGTCAGTTAACGTTCCGCATTCCCAGTCCACGCAACTCAGGTTCATGGTAAAAAATTCATCGAAACGGCTCCCGTCACATAATTGACCAAAACTAGCACCTAGATCTAGTTCTAGGATTCTAGTTTTGGTCACTTGTGTGACATTTTTGGGAGTCCCCGGACAAGCGCAACTCAGGGTTAGCTGAAACGAGTACAATCAGACCTCAATGCGGCATGACCGTTTTCCTGTCTCGAGTTCCTGACTAGTAGTAGGATATATCACGTTCACATGATCACTTGTCTCCGCTGGGGGCGGCGGTCCGCTCCCCGCGGACCGCCCCTTTTGCGGCCTATATCAGCAACGCGCCTCTGACCCGTCGTCTATCCGTATTTTTTAGTTTAGTTCGTTGTTCAGGCCGGGCGTCTTCCACGCTCCGTATCCTCATAAACTCCAGATTAAAATGTTGCCGGACGACGTGACGCCGAATAACTACTGGACGCCATACGTTGCCTCCGCAGTACAATCAATACCCTCATAACTTTGTCAATTATGCCACTCTAACCCACACTGAACTAAAATCAAACCAAACACACAAACACCCTACAAGACGGCCAAGTCGATCCGGTAGCATCTCCTCAACCACCACAACACCCCCATAATTGACCAAAACGCTATTTTCCACGCAAAAACATGTTTACGACACGCAGACGAATATTTTAAAATGTCATTCTTTAATAAACCCTTAGGGAGAAAGGGGTGTTGTTTTGGTTGGTGGTGTGCGAATTCGTTTGTTTGGAAGCATCAGGTGCCACTTTGAATAGATTTCCTTTGAGCCTTTAAAACGTCGGCATACATTCCACCAGTACCCCAACATATTGTTTGAATTGTTGTATAGTACAAACTGACTACCTTTGCTAATTACTAGTTATAATACTAAGCTGTGTGCCTTGAGTAATTGCAAATGACCTGCTATTTCATAATATAACAGCCTGGGTGCTATGAAATATTATATCTATGTTTTTACATTATAAGGTACAAAATACAGATGTTTTATGTCGATGCACTGTCCGTATTCAAATTGAATGTAATTACATTGATAACGGCCACTGCGCTAGCATATAAAACGGCCATTTCTGGTTTTATGAGCGAATGCAAATGATTGTGATTTCTTTAGAATTTTTTGTAGTATTGTGCCCCGTCCCCATTTCCTAAATTTTGTAAACATCTGCCTTGGCGCGTGGCCACCTCCCTTCATCCTCCCCTCGCTAACCTTGACAAAACCCCTAAAATATAATTTTTTTTATAAATTTATGCATCTGTTCAAGTCGTATTATCCATGCTCAATCTGGCAGCGTGGTTTAAACCGGTCGTCGCCAATTAAATGTCGCCAAGATGGCCCCGAGAGGGGAGGCAGAACGCAGAATATATCGCGCGCTTTAATTAGAAGATGGTCGGTATCGTTCCGCAAAAATCAATTTCAGGAATTCTATAGGAATAATTTGAATACGGACACGTGGTATCGAACAATCGTGCTACTTGTGTAACAATACGTGCATAATTTATGTGCAAAACGCCATAGAAATGGAAGTGAGCCTTGATAAAAACACTATTCGCACGTCAGTTGTTATTTAGCAGGCGACCACGTAGAAAAGGCCTCACTTTTTAAAACAAAACATTGTAAGGTGTTCGATTAGGATTAAATGAGCAAAAAATCAAAATCACGACTCGTACCTTGCGGATGTTCCAATGTTAATCATAAGTTGTTCGTAGTATAATGTTCCAGAACTCCCAAGGTACGAAACGTGGCACAACTTCTTATTCGTTAAAAATACGGGTTCTATAATTGCGTTATGCTAACTAACTATTCTTCTGTGTTAAGATAAATCAGTTTTATTACAAATCGCGTTGGAGTTTTGCCTTATTTTAATAATTAGAATTTGCATTTAGTGATGCACACTGGCCTAAAATCGCACTCTAGTCATAAACTAGTCATTTTTTCGAATTAATCTCATTTTCGTCGATTCTAGTCATTAATTTAGTCAAATAATGTTGTTTTTTTTTTATTTTTTAGGCAACAGTGTGTACTTATATAATACGTCTAAATGTTTGGGCTACGAGAAAATCCCCACAATAATAGAAACCCTTAGCAACAAAAAGGTTGCAGAATGTTTTCGACGTTACAGAAATTCTATAATTATTGTCCTATTGATTTCCTATCGTATTCGTTTATCTCTAGCACATCTCAAACCACCGAAACCTTTGTCGTTTCATTGGCGTAGCGTAGAGCTTTCTTTATAACTTCATCTCTGGGGGCTGTTCAGTGTTCAGGCCTTGATGATTTTTATTTTTAATTCGAGTGTTTATCGAGGATCGTATAAATTTCGTTTCGGTTGAAAATCCGATAATTCACTATTGTTTGCGGATGCAATATTTAAGTGTGTTTTTAATGAAAGTCGTAAAAGGAAATTGGTATTTTGTAAAACAGTTTTGTGCGATGAAAATAATAAAGGTCCGGCGACTATGGATTTTGCCCTCGCTTGTTTGGTCATTTAGCTGCCACCCCTGATAAAAGAAATGGGATAAACCTATATTTTTCCAAATCCACATTTCAGTAAATTTACGACTCACATATAAAGGCGCGGTTTCAGTGTGCGGAAAGCAACGTCATACACTCGGAGAAACTTAATGAAATAGGCCGGCTTCCCAATTATGAAATTGAAACCGTTGTATTATTAAAAGTTTTTTCTCTCTTATCTCGAGGAAAATCATTTTTATAATTCCTCTTTGTCATCTCTAGTATACGAAATGAAAAAAGTGTATTTCAGCCGGAAGCAGTTTCTTTTTCGAGGCTGTGGTAATCTAATTTACACAACACGCATCGAGGTTTTCTCTGTCTTTTATCTATTTTATAAATTTATCTTTTTCCTCCCTTAATTTCTGAGAATCACTCCAATTTTCTTTGTGTCTTTACACATTTTTCCGTTTTTATTTATTTTCAGCTCTACCTCTCTTATATTGTTTTCCGCCGAATTCTTTCATATATCATTCATAAAAACGATTTATTCATTTGCTTCGACCTGAAACAAAAACTATTAAATATTCAGAAAGCGCGCTTAATGAAATTTAACGATTCGTCTCGACACCCTTCACCGCAATTACCGTAAAATTTTCACAAGGAACGGTTTTAAATTTTGATATCTCGCGTGATTCGGGGTGATGGTTGGCAGCTGTTGCAATTCGCCGGATTTTTATTAAAAAATGTCTATTTGGCCAAGTTTTCGTTTAATCCGTTGTTATTGTGGCGACAGGCAGATGTTCGAAATGACATCAAAATATGTAATTATTGTAAAATGAGGGTCGTATTTTACGTAAAAGGGGAATTTCAACGTAAAAGGGTAGTTTGATGACAAACAACAGGTTTAGCCGTATGTTGATTTCCAGATTTGTGCAAAATCGAACGGCACGTGCGACCTTTTCTATTATTATTAAAGCTGGCGTTCTTTTGTTGAATCCTTCAAAATTGTAACAGGAAGATTAAATTGATTTTTCCCTCCGTTTAGGGTGAAATTTCAAATGCACAAATAAAATAAACACTGATTTTAGGGACAAACGGGGTAAAATTGGCAAGTTGCAGCCGTCCGTCCGTCCCATTGTCACTGGATTATTCCAATTCCCAATTTTTCAAAACAAGATAAAGTAGTCCAAACATTTAGTCCACAACGCCACACAACACAACATACAGTTACACTTGCCTCAATTCCGTCGAATTTGAGGAATTGAGGTGAATCTGTATTGTGATAGGTGATCAAAGAATAAGCGGGAGAGCCGCTGTGTCCGTCACTACCTCTATATCTTTCCGGTTTCCGGATATGGATGACCACGGTGCAAAACCGAGGAGTTCCTCTCAGCTTTATAACAAATTAACCTCAGTTTCCATTATCGCGAGCTTATCGCGAAAATGGAAATCTAAATAAAAATAGCGTACATCTGGAGTATGAGACTCTGCGCGAATGTTGCTGAAAGGCGTGTTGTTATATTATACTTAAAATCGGAGGCACAAAATCAAAATTAGTCTTAAGGATGTTTAGGATACCACATAAGTTATAGAATGTTTTTGTAGAGTATTTCACATGAGATTATATCTATTTACATTGGAGACTCAGATATATAAATTATACATATAAATATAACTATTTTCATATTATTCTGCGTTTTAAATAAGGCGCCCAATGAATGGTTTGGAATAGATTGTGTAAGTGTTTATGCTTTATCCTTTATGTGTTATGTCTGTGTATACCTAACGTATCAAACTATTACTATCTCCCAACTGCCATCTTTGATTTATTCCAACTTCCTATTACAATAAAATAGACCTGAACCCGTTATTGTTACATATTTTATACGAGTTGCCCAACAAGAATAGAACAATAACAACGTCTCCAAATATTTTGCAACAACTCAGATCAGTATTGTTAAATTTTTGTTGATGAATCTGTCGTTGTTGCACAATAATTGAGACAAACGGAAACGATACTCTATCGAAACGTCAATCCCTAGCTATAGCAATCCATTGATTTTTTTCACTTTTCAGTTCTATTCTTGTCGTTGGAAATATTTAATCAACTGTAACAAACGTTCCAAATATGTGCCCGTAGTTGATCTAGTCTAATCTAGTTTTTATTTAATCATAAAATACAAAGGGTGATATAAATAAATTTATTATAAAAAAACGGCGCATGTTTCGACCGTTTACCTAGTAACTTCTGTAGTGAAACTTACACTTTTTACATTTTCATATTCAGAAATGAGTATTATTAAAATGAAATGTATTGTACTTGCTAAGCATACGGTTTAGTGGCAAATAATTATGTATTATGGATAGACCTAAGAAAAAATAAAGAAATATTTGGAGAATCCCTCATTTCACTTTCCCTTACCTCACAAAAATAATAGTCTATCGCCGAATAATTGGTTGCATACCCACCATTTTTCAAACTCAAGACGTGATAAAAAATTAACACAACCCTCACTAAATGATTCTTCCACGTCCACGTACGTCGTTAAGACTCTATTAAATATTAAAGCAAAGTTTTAATGTATTTTGCTATATTTATAAAGACTTCGTAATGCGATATTCAGACTACTTAGGCTTAAGACCTTCCAAATAATTAAATCATTTATTATGCTATACAACAAGTAATGACATTTTTCAACAATAAATGAGTAGTAATCAATAAATACGCAGGCAGAAGCAATCATTAATTATGCACATTAATATTAAATATTGGGGTAAAGCAATGTTCCCTGAATCAAATAATTACAGCTTACGTAAACGAACAAAGACGACCATTCACTCATCAGATTAATTTTTAATCGAGTATTAACCAAAGTTTACATTTTTTTTTAACACAAATCCCAGTTTGGACTTTGCTTCAGGATTTGCTTCAGAAAATACAAATCGGGATTTTTCATTATTCTAGAATTGAAAAACCCTAATCGTGAATTACAAAACATATTGTTATATCATAATAATTGAGTTGTGCAACTATCTATAATTACAAATTGAAATTAAATTGATTGAATATTATTTCAAGTTTTTCATATTACATATTTCAAAGAAAAATTTACTCACTAATTAGTTCATTATCTAAGTTTTCCCAAAAATCTCAGTCAGAAATAATCGCACTTTGAAATTCTAAATTGTGATTGTGGTTTTAGTGCTGTATTATTAAAAATATATTAAACAATTCTTGAGAACATTACAAACAGAAAATAACTGCGCAAACAGCCACGAAATTCCACCAAGGTTTAACTATGAGTGCCCCTTATTATCATGACTACTAACGCAGTTAAAATTATAATTTTTTTTTTGATAAAATCGAACGGCATTGTCATTTCTGCTCGTTATTAAAAGTGTTAATATTTAATTTATTGACTTTTGCGGTTGACATATTTTAGTTTCGTCAAGGATATAAATAAATAAATTGATTGATGTTATCATTTTCTTGCCACGCCAACTCCAAATCCAACATTCGGGATTTGGATGACAATATTCAGATAATTTTTTCTCGATTTGAGAAAAAACACCAGTGATGAGAGTCGAGTGATATTGATGGAAATAGCAGCAGGTAAGTGGGGGATTTTTTCTTTTCATAAGACGCCATGTTGTTTATTTGAAACGGTGTCCTGTAACATTTGAACAAAAAAACTCCCGAGATATTTTATCGCCCATTATCCTGGACTTTGAAGGTTTGATTAAGTGTCATTTTCGAACAAACTGATTTCGGGGAAAATAAATTCATATAGATTTACGACTCGCCAAATACGCCCAATCGACACAGAAATCCAAAAAAAATTGTTTTTTGATAAATAAAAACCAAATGATTTTGATTTTGGTGGTAATTTTTGGAGGATATTTAAAGGAATTTGGAGTTGTTTCGCTTCCTATTAGCGAGTTGTATTTATTTTTTAGAGATAATGATAGAGTTGATAGGATCGGAGCGATCGATGGAGCAAAACGACTTAATTTGTTGGTATGGAAGTTGTGTTGAGATTCGGAGCCGGACTTTTGGGTTAATTATTTATAAGTTAAATACCTTTGAGACATAAATGTCGTAGTATTAAAAGAAATAACAGCGACATATAATATTATTTACAATGAAAAATATGCTAATGACTGTGATATTATCGTCAATATTCGGGGCTGCATCAAGATACATACTTAATTTTTAATAAATTATTTTTGCAAATATATTTTACCACGTTATTCGAATTCTTATCAATAAACAACACGAAAATACATAATTTTATTTTTTTATAAACGTATCAATATGTTTACCGCTGATACAAAAATAGATTTTCCAAATTTGTAAAATGTAGCAAACCCAGATAAGAGAAATTTTGTAATAATTGCGGAATTGCAAATATAACACGGAAAAAAAATTCGATCAGTTATCACAAAATCAAACACAATGACCTTTTCGCAATTGCAATTTTTGTTGTTTTTATTTATATCAATTTAGTGTACAAGAGGCTTAATACGATAATTTTATTGTTTTTTTAATTAATGTTATCAGATTAATTCCGACGTGATTTGATTTTTATTTAAATTCTTTTCACAATTTGAGATTTGAATAATTTTTGCACTTGATGTTAAATCCTAATCCTGTCTCGTGTGAATTAACTCGAACGGATGTCACTTGAGACTCACCTACTTTCAAAAAATGGCATTAATTTGAAGTAATTAAGAAGTAATGACCCAGATTTTTGTGTAATATTGGTGATCAATCAACTCCATTGTATTTCCCAAGTGCTTAATTAAATTTGATTCGAATTTTGTAATTCACACAATTGGGAATTTGTGATAAAATGTTTCGAAATTTTCAAAAAACGTCTTGGTTACCGTGTCAAGGCGACAAAATCTGATAAGATCGATTTTTCTCACTTGACCATCCATGTTCTTCAGATAAAATACTTTTGCGTTGAATTTTATCAAGTGGTGACACAGAATTTGATTCGACCTAGGTATCATAACTGCGTCAAAACAATAAATCATTGGCACAGTTTCAATTCTCAATATTGGAGGAAATACCTGAGCAAAGACAATGAACTTATTACAAAAATACGTAATTATTTCTTCATTAAGCAAGTTCCAAATGACATTTTAATAATATTTTTTGTGCTTTGTTTTTAAAATTGTTTTAAAAAATGCGCAATAATTTTAGTTATCGTGCCAAATAACGACTATAACTTCCGTAATATACAAGTGTTCCATTACATTGTCCCTTGCTAGTAATCGTTATAATAAAAATCTTTATGTACATGAAATGTAAATAATAGTTATTGATTTTCATTTTGGTCAACAGAAAAGATTGTTTTGTAACTTGTTTTTATCGTTGGTAAAACAACAATTTACAAGTGTACCCCTTATCTAAACATTGTTTAGAAATTCTGCTCTGGATGTGCAATTTCTTAGCGACATTCCTAACTGTAATTCTATCTGTCAAAAAATGTCTCAATTAGATGGTAATAAATAAAATTAGCATAATTTTTCATTTCCCTGTCTTTGAAAAAAGGATAAGTGAAGGTTACTGGGGCGAAAAGCTGTTGCTTTTAAATGGTGGGGGCTGTCCACAATTTCCTTCTATAACAGAGCGCATAACTACTGAGAGGTAACTAAGATTCAAACAGTCTCTGACGTCACTATCTATTATCTAGCAATTTTCAAGAGTACCTGCGTACCTGGGATATTTCGCTTATGGTTTAGTACTTACTTAAACTAGACCCAGTGTGACTGCTGGTTGTGCTTTTTCTCCGTGTTCCACGTGTTATTTATTTTTGTAAAGCTGGCTATTCCTCACGGATTTTCGTAAGTAGAAAACCACATTTTTTTTAACCATTAACCAACAAGGTACTACTAATCAAGAAACGCATTTTTGGTCGAACTCATTAATCAAATTTTGCGATTATTGCTTTGATAACAGTAATTGTGCCCACAATTTTAATTAAATTCGCGAGAAGAAAGAGTGACGGTGCACAATTCGCCCAAAAATTTGGCAATTACAATTTTTCTTTGTTGTGGCATTCTGGTAGTAATATTTGGATGGAATTCACAACTGCGCTAGTTTTTTCAAAATAAAGAAAATTTCTGTGGCTTTCTCAACGGATATACGACATACATAATAACTTTATTTCATCCGGTGGACACAAAAGACTCCTCTCTTTTGATACCTGAGCCTTACGCACTCCAATACAGTTAGCTTTTATACAGGGAGTTCCGGAATGGGAAAAAAATAACACCTAATCCGAAAATGAGACAGTTCAAGGTTATTTAAGTCTTATCTGATCAAAGTCGATTAATTCGAAACGATTTATAAGTTTAAACAACTCCAGGTGTTAGATTTCCTATAATTATTGCCAAATATCGGACCAGCCTATAATTTATTGCATTGAAAGGTCGAATACAAATAATAATTATCAATTGCTTCCTCAATTTAAATCATAAACCGGTAAAATCAGTCTAATTGTTATATTTTTGCGAATGTAAATCGAATACAGTTACAGTAATTAGTTTCAAATACAAAAGGTTCGAAAGTTCAAAATATCGTGTTAAAAATGTTCCCCAAGCTAAAAATCAGTTTTAAAGCAATTAAAGTGGACAATTTGACGTCAAGGTTTAATTTTGTGTTTACGACACGAGTAATCAGAATCAAGCTTGCATGAATCAAAATCGCTTATCAAGTAATAAATTTTTTCTTATTTCTGATGTATTTTCAAGAAATTTCTTCACACTATAGATAGATGATAATGATAAAATTGCACAACAATTACGTGATTGGGGATTTTTCTAATTTTCATTGTTTGTCTGTTTTCGAAAAATGCTCGGCTTGAAAATATTATTATCGGTCGATTACACATATTTTCAACGAAATGACGTTGTTTGCCGCCTATTATCCAGCAATTTACATAAAAATTAGTTTAGAATCGACGATTCCAAGCCAGAATTGGCGATTTATGTCGCCGCTTGGAAAAGTTCAGATTACATCTTACAATATTGTCTCGATAAGCCGAATCGGTGCTTAAGATATGTTAATTTGTTTTGGATGAGCTTCAGACAACCGGAAATTGGTTATAATCGGAGAAAAGTGTCGTAAAATGCCTGCTCTCGCGGTTATTGTTTTGGGAAAGCATTTACTAATTTCCCGAAACTGTTTTCACTAACTCCAGCCACAATAAAACGTGTTTACTATAAATTTTCTTATCGTCATTTAATTAAGTGTTGTTATTTTTATTGGCCAGCTTAATTTATATTAGTCACTTAGCAGACACAAAATTCAACTTCACTCCCTCAATATTTGAACAAGATTGCAATAATCACAAATGGGAAAATTCGCAATCGACAGGTGAAAAGTCAGAGATAACGAAAATCTAAATTCGCAATTATATATTCAAGCTCTGAAATTAAGATTAAATCGAGATGATTGACTTTTAAGTTAAGTAACTCCAGCGCAAGAAATGCTTGCACTAAGCTAGAATACCGCGAAAAATGCAATAATATTGAGGACAGTCGGACAGTTTTGTTGCTTTTTGGCTGGTTACGAATTTATTAAAAAAATTAAGAGTCTCTCAGAAGTGCCGGAAGAAGATAAAAATCTCAAAAATCAACTGGGATAATCAAGATTCTAATTTTTTCTGTTCATTACGTCAATATGCATTGCAGTTGAGTATTGTACAGGTGTAAAACATGATACAGTATCAAAAATTTCAAGATTTAATGAACGTCAAGATTTTATCGTGACAATTTTTTTCAATTAGAAGCGATTTTTGATCTTAATCTTTAACCTTCTCTAGGATTCGCTATTATTGATCTAATAATATAAAACTGAAGCAATTTTTTGTAATTAAGTCAAGTGATGCGTAAAAAATACGCACTTTCTCTACAAATCAACTTTCTACCACAATTATTTAATTAAGTAATTAAAAATTTTGACAAAATATTAACGTTTGGCGTGATTTTGTTATGGCGGTTTATTTTCCATGATTATTTCAGCGGAACGTTCGTTTTTTCGTTCCGTGACCACAAGATGTTGTAAACTAGTAAAAGTTGAGTTTTCTTGCGAACATTGCGAAATAGTGGTAAAAATTAAAATCAGATAAAGCGGAAATATACTAATTGATAATTAATAAGATAAGGCTATCTTTGCAAGTGATATAAAAAATAGTTATAAGAGTTTGTATCAAAGTCAAGATGTAAGGAGTGTCGTGTAGTTTTCCCAAATTTGGTATTTTTCAGTGAAAACCGATGTGAGGTCTAAGGTAAATACCAAATGAGATAAGTGTTGTTGTAATTTTCCTGTCTGTCGAATAATTTGTTTGTTGAATTTTCTTATTTGTTGCATTTGTGTCTGAAAAATTTCACACAAAATATCAAAACAAATAAAAATTTCATTGACTTGAAATTCTGAAAAATCTGGTGTAAACAAGACTGAGAACCGAAACAAAGGCAAATATTTTTCTCACCATTATTGTTATTATTATCATTATTATTTTAACTTATCTCTATATAATAAAGTGAAGACATTTTTAATAGCTGAACTAAGAGCTCACTTTTAACAATTAAATTATTTTCCGTAATTTATTATGTCCGTACGTTTTCCTTTTAGATTTAATCTTTTTGAATGGTCGTCAAGGACTCATTCACATCGAAAATTGAGCGCTTTTCTGAGAAGTGAAATTACAAGAGACGTTTTGGACGGAATTCAACCTATTCATACTTCAGATCCATAAAAACATAAAGTAAGTATCATTTACTTTGCCTATTATCGCCAATAATCAAGTTTTTAATTAAGTTTTTCAACAATATGTTACTACGTCTATCTACTAATAAACAACGAAAAAAATTAAAATTTTTGTTGACAATAAGATAATCCAGAGACTTCATAAAAATGATAACTCACGTTTGTCGAATTTAACTTACAATAATTTTTATCTTCATTTAAATATTGACACATTTTACATTTAATGACACGGAATTAGCGCTGAATCGATACAATAACCACAAAAATGATTTCCAACAAGAACACAAACCGATAAGTACAATAGTTGTATTTATTGTAATTTATGTAAATTCATTTAGCATTTTTGTATAATTATTTTGTCAAAAAATTCTTGACTCACACTGTTTGTACATAGTCGGGCGCAATGGTGGTGTATCCGTATTCTGAAGACAATTTAGATCCAAAAATAACAATAAGTGTTTTGTCGGACAAAATCCCTGATATGCCTGATAACCAGTTGACTGTTTCGACAATTTTGAGTATATCATCAGACAAAGAATTGGAAGCAGAAAATGGTAGGTAACTCAACTTAATTAGTCAAACGACTAAAAATTCGATTTAGTTAAAGTTGAATCTCTATATAACGGCAAATCTTTGGAATCGATCAAATCCATTGCAATCAGTGAGTCGGAAGCCGAAGTCTCAGCCGAAAGCATCGAGAAAGAGCATTGGTATTCCATAACTTTACAAGTTTTCATCCCCTTCATGATCGCAGGAATTGGCACAATTGGCGCTGGGATTGTTTTAGGCAACGTTGAGGTTAGTAAGTCGAAGTCCCAAGACGGTTCTAACCCTCATTTTTAGGAATACGATGTTTTCCAAGATGTCAAAGCGCTGTATATTCTCGTCCCTTCGATAATCGGGCTTAAGGGCAACCTCGACATGTGCCTTGCCTCGCGACTGTCCACGCAAGCCCATATGGGCACAATGAAGTCCAAACGCGAACTGTTCAAAATGATCGTGGGTAATGTCGGGTTGGTGCAAGTAAGATTTCGAGGCAAATCTCGAATTTTTCACTCGAATGCCCGGTTTTAGGTCCAGGCTATCGTCGCCTCATGCCTTGTTGCTATTTTTGCAGTCGCTGCCTCAGCTCTAGTCAACGGTGGCTTTGATTGGGAACATGCGTTGTTGTTATCAGCTTCGGGGATCTTGACAGCGACAATGTCATGTTTCATTTTAGATTTCGTACTAATTGCTGTGATAATTATTACACATAAGATGAAGCTCAATCCGGACAATGTTGCCACGCCTTTCGCTGCTAGCATCGGAGATGTTGTCTCACTTCTAGTCCTTTCCTCCTGGGCCAGCCTTCTATACTCAATCCATGGTGGGTAGAATTTTACCAAAAATTCGCAACCATCGTGTACAATTCCAGAAACACACACATGGGTCCTCGTTACTATTTTGGTAGTTTACATCGTCCTCATCCTTCCAGTATGGGTTTTAATTGTACGAAAAAATAAATACACGAAAAAAGTTCTAACGCACGGATGGACTCCAGTTCTCTGCGCTCTCATTATCAGCGGGTAAGTTGTAATTTTCTTGACATGTAATTTGCAACCAAAGGAAGTTTACAATTTTTATCGTTAACAAATTAGCACCAAATTAACTTTGACTGACATGCATCAAGGGTTTTTCACGCAGGGCTCACAACTAGATTACTTATTATTTGTGCACGTGGTGAAAATTTAGAACTTAATTTATTAATCAATTTCACTAATTACACACACGTGTTAAGGAAAATAAATGAACAATACGCTTTTTAATTGCAAATTATAAGTTTCGCAGTCTTGGAGATAAAAAATCAATAAGTTCGCCCATTATCACTGAGCAATTAAGCTCAAATTGTTTAAAACTTTACAATTTAATTGATCACTAATTAAATTGAAGACGCGATATTTTTACTATTGTTTACAATGCAAATTTACACCAAAATTGTTTGTTTTATTCATGTTTTCACAATTTATTCGTCAAATACAAGTTTACAATCATTTGACTGATCGCCTAGTCTTGCAACATAAACAATTATATAACGGTGTAGTTTTTCCTCGTCCTCGAGTAGTTCGTGTGCTAGTTATTAACAGGTCATCTGGGTCTAATTTTCCACATGAGCCGATGTCTTAATGTTGTCACCGTGTGAAAAACGCTCCAATGTCAATAGCATGATCATGACATTGAGCAAAATTTCCTGTGGTGTAAATATTGACAGTTTTTTGTCCACCAGTGACCCTTGTAATTAGCCTTGAACGTGACAGTGCATTAATCCCGTTTTCTTCCGCAGGATGGGCGGACTGGTTCTGGATTCAGCGGTGGATCAATTTACTGGTTTCGTGGTTTTCCAGCCAATAATCAATGGGATCGGTGGTAATCTGGTTTCGGTACAAGCGAGTCGCATTTCGACGATGCTGCACAAGACCTCCCTAATGGGGGTCATTCCCCCGCACACCCAGCAATGGGTTTGGCCGTGGAAGGCCCTCATCCGGGGAGTTCTTCCAGCGAAATCGGCCAGGATTTTGGTCCTCATGATGATTCCAGGACAAGCAGTTTTTCTCTTCGTTGCTGATCTTATTTACAACGAGGGGGTGTCTTGTGTGGAACCCGCCTTCGCCTTGACTTACATTGGAGTTAGTCTGATACAAATCATGCTTTTGTTGTACATTGCTCATATCATAATCCACACAATGTGGAGGTTCAAGATGGACCCCGATAACTCCGCAATTCCGTATTTAACAGCCTTGGGTGACCTCCTGGGGTCCAGTCTCCTGCTTCTAGCTTTCATGTTCTTGAGGAAGATTCACCAAGAATACAACCCGATTATCCTAGCTAATGAATAAATACTTAACTTTAATGTGATTGATCAGTTCAATTATTTTACAATTTGATGATGTACAAACCTATAGTATTACATTATTTTTAAATTTACGATCAATGTAAATTTAAATTTCGTGATTGTATTGCCAGTAATTTTACGTGTTAACACTAAGAACTATTTTAATAAACATAAACATGAACAATTTTTCGACTTTTTTATTCTTCCCCTAACACCAAAATACCACAAAAGTAGAAGTAGTAGAGAATAGGAATATTTTTTGCTCGAGTATAGTATACAGGTTGTCTCACGAATAAGGTCTTTGTTTCGGTTTCCCGTTCACAGATGGCTCCCACTTCTCGATTGTAAAATAATATTCTGAAAACATTGAAGACAGGATGGGAGTGAGTTAGTTTGGTGGCAGTGGCGAGTGTTTGTTGCATGTCCTGAGACAGCTGATAGTTACCATTAATAATTTTTTTAAATACGGTTGTAGTAAATTAAATGTCATAAAAATGGTTTAATGTGCAACGACTGTATAAAATCCATACTATGGACCGACATAAATGCCAAAAGGTCTCGACTAAATAGTTGTCATGTAATAAATAATCGAATAATAGATGAATTGGTAAATAAATTAAATAATGAGGAGAATAACAACAGTAAAAAGGCACACCACTGAACTAACGACTTAAAGTAAGTAAAAAATTGCCTGAAATATTGATTCTCGTTAATGACCAAGTCCAAATATTGACCATTTAATTATTTACAATTTCACTTTTTATTTTTAAATACCGGTTTTGAGTCACTTTCTATAGCCCAGAAAACTGAAACACCTTAAATTTTTCAGCCGTTTTTCAATTCAGTGCGTGCAGCACTAAGACGTGTTATCATTATTTTAAAAATATCTCAATCAACATGCATATAAAGTCACGGGTCATGCATTGAAATTTAACTACATAAAAAATAATTTTGGCGCGATTTTACATAGGTTCAATGAAACCATTAAAATTTTTAATGATGATTTTTATTCTCCTGTGGTACTTTACCACACATGTCATTAAAATTCTTTGATCTCGATTTTGAATGGTATTTCCTGTGTTTAAATCACAGTTGAAATTTCAAATGCAACAGTGTTTCAAATAACGGTGCAAATAAACGTATCTATTTAAATAAATTATTGGGCTCAAAATAGCGCTAATTAGAGACAAACAACGATACGTTAATTAGACAATTTGCGAACCAAGGTTTCTGAAACTACGAAATTTTGACTGTCGCAATACAAAAAAAATTCTTTGTTCAAGACGGAAAATCATAAATTTGCATCTCTCAAGTAAATCAATTAATGCTGATGAGACTGAACTAAGCTGTCAAAGGCTTCATTAAATTATTCTATAATACGACCTAGAAGTTTATTTACTTTATGTTTATTTATAAGTTGAAAGATTGTTTGTTATTTCATGGCAAACATATAGTTAATATTTTATTCAGTCTTACAATTACCTAAAATATTCAGAATCTGGTGTGAGTCATCTGTCAGTTGCACCCCAAGACATATTATGAATTATAGAATAGAATAGTTCGTATTGGCCTAGCCCTCAAATCAATCCTAACTCAATTTCGACGTTACAAGACTTTATGAAAAACAGTTTTTTGTCGTGCAGAAATTAATTAGTCATAAATGTCACCGCAGTTGTGATGAGGCTGAAACATAATACCCCTGAGGAAAGCCTCGGGGAAAGCTCAACGTTTTCTTTGTGCTTATCGATGTAACGCGATTTTCCTAAATTACCATCGAAAAATACACTCGAGAAAAAGCTCCCCATTATGATGATTTTGATGTTTACCATAGTGAAAATGAGAAAAAAACAGTGTTTTTAGAGAAAAAAGTTTCACGTTCCAAATGGCTGATGTCCTTAACTTTTTTCACCATGGTGGTATCAAATAAATATTTATTCCCAATGAGTAGTTTGTTTGAATACAATGATAGTAATTACAAGGAGCAATTAAAAAATGTTTCCTTGGACTATTTCTAGCACATTCGCGGACTATTTTCAACTCGCTTATTATTAGAAATTGATATTTTTCAACTATCACAACCACTTGTTACGTTTTTACACCTGATTAGTGATTAGATTATTTGTGCTAGGATCGATACACAAACTCCGATTTTATGAATTATTTATCTTGCATTTGGTAGCCATACGCTGATTTTATTATCCCCATTATCTGTTTTATTGTGCTCGTTACATTTTTAAATTGATTCGAAGTGCTCTGAAAATTAGAAACTAGAAATTATTTTTGATACGAGTTCGACAATTTATGTACATATATTTCGCTCTGCATCTTTTTATTGACGTCGCGACGCCGACAATCTCTGTCACACCAAATTCGAATTTGCATATTCAAACCCTGAATGAAATGAAATATTCGCGATGTTGTCAATTACGCAACGCTGGATTTGCCCAACCGTTGAAGAATCTAATTGATTTTAGCACGTGCTAAAAGTGAAATTTCCACTGTGGTGGAAAACTAGGCTTCAAGGTTGCTTTTGTAGTTTTGCTTACGTTATAAAATTGCGTTATTTTGAAAAGTGGCTTCAATCACTCTGTGTTGTAATTTTGCGGAATTGTGAACGTGAAGAGAATTACGCCAAAGGTCAGGGCTGCGGAGTGAAGATTGTGACTACTATTATCGACGACATTCGAATTAATTTATGAGATAACACCAATCGATACGCGGAAGTTGTATTTTTGGACCAGTTTCACACAATTCATTTCATTTGGCTGGAATATTGATCAAATGATCATTTACCACTGACCTTACCGGGTCAATTCTATTTTTGGTAAACAAAAATTTGTTTGTCACTCAGGACAGCTCACATTTTGGTGAAAAATCAAACTGTTTGCCAATTTTTTAAAGGCTTGCTATTTAAAAAACAAGTCTTGTAGCTTGTAGCAAATTGAAAAAAAAAAAAAAAAACACAGAAAACTAAATAATTCAAGCAGGGCGTTTGAGCTTTTTTATTTTTTGCCAAAATGTGATTTTTTAGAATTGTCTTGTTTTTGAGTTCTACAATTTTTTTTATTTTTTTAAATGATAGCCCACTATAAAGCCATTTTTCTCATGAAAGTTATAATATAAGTATTACAACTATTTACTTTATATTTATTTTATCAATTTTTTTTTACATATATGTATTGCAATTTTGACAAAAAAATCGTATAAATCAAAAAGAAAACAAAATTTTGTTCTTAAAATACGATCACATTTTTTAAATTAGTTACTTTAATTTATATTGATTATTATTTTTTGGAGGCAAATGATTAAAAAAAAAACGGTTGGTTCCATACTTTATATTGAACTGTGACCCAACTTTTTGGCCACTTGACTAATTCCATGCCAAAACGATCACTTTTAAAACTCATTGTTTCTGATTTTTGTAAATTTGAGATATGTTATAGAACGTGTAAAAATAAGTGACACGTATTCCACCGTTTTTATTTTTTCAATGTATGTTGCAAAAACAGGGATGTATGTACAAAATTAAGTACCTCTAAAGAGCAAATCAACATATTGAAACAATTTTTTTTTTAATAATAGATGTAAGTCGGTACACTACGGACGTGATAATACATGTATTCTAAAAATTTGTTATTAATAAATAATTTAAAAATTGTATATTGTTTAAACGAAAAAATAAATATTACGCAGGTTTTTAAAATTCTCAAAAAATTTATGTAAAAACTTTCATATTTTTACTATGTCTTTACATAAGTTTCAAGACGAACGTTTTAAAATTTGCTGAAAAAAAAAATAAGAGTGCTGCATAGTAATAGAAAAATTACCAATTACCGTCACTAATAAGATGTTTTATAGAAAACACATAATTTTCAATAACTTATTAACATTTGTTTTTCAAAAAATATCAATAATAAATACAAATTCCTCGGTTGAGGAAGAGTACTCTATATATTTTTTATTCTATTTTCTGATATTTGTTTCTGCTGGAAAAATAATTTTCCATATTTTTTTTGCTACAAGCTATTCGAAGAGGAAACAAGGAAGCTGTATCCTAAATTGTAACTCTGTCTAATTTTATTTGTGGCTTTTATTGGCAAAATTATCGTACCTTTATTAAGTAATTATAAAAGAAAACATATACAAGATCATCAAAATCATTAAATAGACATAAAAAATGTCAATTTTCAAAAAATTAATGTAAAAATATTTTAACAGATTTTTTTTCCATGTTCGTGGTATCTTACATACATGGCATGTCACGTTGGTCCGGGAATTTTGACACACCCTGTATAGCCAAACGTAATATATGAAATATTTGTGAAATATTTACTCAACCGAAGAATTTGTTTTTTATTATTAATATTTTTTGAAAAATAAATGTTAATAAATTACTGGAAATTATGTGTTTTCTTTAGAACAGTTTATTAGTGACGGTAATTGGTAATTTTTCTATTTAATTTCCAAGGAAACGCTACTTTCAGGCGATCTTAGGGGATCATGCACTATGCAGCGCTCTCAAAGAAAAAAAAAATTTCAGCCATTTTTTAAAACGTTCTTCTTGAAGAGATAGTAAAAATGTGAGAGAATTACTCTACAAATACTGATTCTCCAAATTGGGGAAATTTAGTTTTTTACAACTTTATGAAAGGTGTAAAAAATGTTGCTATAGTGCGGAGTTTTTTCATTATTTCTGGCCATTTCTGGTATTGTGATACAACACGCCATGTGTTTATGAAAAGTCCGACAGGCTATTGAAATGGATATTTCACAAATCGCGTTAAAAATTCGCCTCTGGGTGAAAAATGTAAAATTCATTGCTTGTGGTCGATGAAAAATCGCCTCGTTTGAATTTAAATGTCTGCTAATTATTGTAATTGACGATAGATTTTTCCGATAAATCCTACGAAATGGTTGTCAGTTGAGTGCTTTTATTATGTTTACTGTTATAATAAAGTGTACAATAGTCTGTATGTATAATTATGTCATAAATGACAACAAGAGACACTGCAAACAATTTATTCAAATATTTGCAACCTTACATGACAGTACATATTTTCTCTTTATTATCAGTATCACTAGCAGGAGAGAGGCCCAAAAGAAATTTACAGCTTCAATAAGGTTGCCTTCATCGCCACGCCGAGATTTCAGAATTAATTAAAAACAATTTACACTCGTTGCTTGAACATCGAAGCATTAAAGGGGCTTTAATAATGCAAAAATATTGCCCGACTTCAAACTCGCTCGAACAGTATTTGACACAGACAAAAATTCACAATCCCAGAAAGTAGAACTTATCCTCTAAGATTATAAAATTAGTCTATTGTGTAAAAGGTTCCAGGACCGAACTCGAAACAATTCGAGCACGCACAATTTGGACAATTGCTTTTTTCAAACTTTTTACTTTGTTTGCCAAAAATTATGTAATCTTAAGATAAGGTTTTTACTTTTCTTTCCAAAATAAAATACAAAATTTGTTTATCGGACTTTTATGACAGGACAGAAAATATGTGCATATGTATATGTTTTATGACTTTCGGTAATGCAACAGAAATAGCGTTGTGTATCATCATGTGTATTCGTGTTAAACATCTATTTTTCAAATGTGTGCAGGTGGGTGCATTATTTTTTCTTGCTTTTCCTCATGTTTAATTGGGCCAAAGTTTGTAAATATCTTCATCCTCCGGGAAATCTGAAATATTCCGGACGAGATGAAAGAAACGCTATCCCACCTTGATTCTGACACTGACACGATAAAAGATTTTCACTCTCAACTCCTTGGATAAATAAACTGAAACTATAAATACGTTCGCCGGCAAATAAGTGCATAAATTTAATTTGACTGGATTTCGGGAGTAATTGGCAAGCGAAATAGATTTGTACACTTTGAAAATAAATCGCTGAATTACTTCTTGTCTATTTTTATTGGCGCTGGGGGTGAAAAATCGCCCTTTGCAACACCGCCATTCCCCGGAATCACCCTCATTTTCTGTAATTCTTACAAAAGTAATAACTGAATTGAAAGGTCGTTTTATTGTAGACTTTGTCCGTTCAATTACTGGTCTAATTGGTCTATATTCGAGCGGTCTGGGTCACGGTTAAAACGTTAAAACCGTCCTGTAGGTGGTTTTCCGCTGATAAATAAGGGAAATCGATAAAGCCCCCAAAATAGAGCTATCGAAATTTCCAAAATGGCAAAGTACACACATAAAAACTTATCTCAACAGATGCAAATTTTGGGCGAATTTATTAGATTGATGTAAATTGCGCGGGAGATGAAACACGAAAAGACACTTGACGGGGTATTAGACATATATCGATCCTGGTAAAAAAATTAGGGAAAAATGACTGCAGCCGGGAGAAACACTCGGGTCGATACAGGCACTGCTGATAATTAAAGGGAACCACGACACCGAATTTGATTAAAATCACGGCTAAACTTGTTAGATGGTGGATTCGAATCTGTTTATCACCGTTTTTCACGCCTGCTCCCATATGGTGTCTTGCGAAAATTTTCACCTCATTACTATCTCAAATGTAAACTTGACCGCTAACTTTTACGATAATGAATGAGTAAAGGATGACAGCTTTATCGCCCACCAACCACATTTACGATTTTCCCGAACGCAAAAACAATAATAGGTGAAAAACCTAGCTATCTTATCACCAAAGTAAACAAACTAACTATTTTCTCAATGAGACTTCCGTAAATTTAAAGTCAGTGATGAAACAGGCCCAAATTTTATTAAATATTTGACAAGCGGTGATAAATTTCCACAAGTATTCTGGACAGTCTCCAATTCTCTGCAGAAAAATTCCTCTTTGAAGTGAAACAAAGTAATTACAATATTGCATGTTGGAAAAGGCTCCACCCCAAAAGCCAACTATCGTTTAAACGATAACGGCGCAAATTTGTTGTTTTTAGGTGACATGTGAATGCAAATTAACTTTCAACTTGAATTCGATACAATTAAAATGCGCACGAACACTTATAAATAGACTAGGAATGACTTATCTCAGAAAAACCAACAATTTGAGTTGAGGTGACCCAATTGAATTTGGCCTTGTTAATAAAAAATCGATGAGGAAATCGCGACAAATTGAAATTAAAGTGGAAAGCAGGGAATTAACAAGACTGTACTTCTTTGTAATCGATTTTGGATTGCTTCCAATTTTTTGACGTGAAGCACTCAAGAACCGAAAAATCTTGAACGGTAATCAAATTAGGCAAATAACTGTTCAATTATGATAATAAAACTCCCAAGTGACGGTAACTCTATTAGAGATTCTCCTGAAGAATACAAAACTCCGGGATTTGTTTAAAGTAGCGAGTTTGGACTTGGTCATTGGGTGTGAAATTTTCCAAATTTTGATGATTTTGGTTTTAGGGCCTCGTGGATCTGGCATGCACTATAATGAGCAGCGGGCGTGGCCTAATAGGGCGTCGCCGAGGAGGAAACACATGGCTTCGAACAGGACTAATAATCTTCATAGTAATTTTTATCTCCCTTCAGATAAATTTTTTAAGTTACCGCGGTTCAAACGATTCAAATTCCGAATTAAACGATTCAAATGCGGCCATACTGAGTATGGTGCCGGCCGTGTTGCACAAGTTCCTAACTCCAAGGCCTAGAAACGTGAGCAATAGTTTAGGCCTAAATGGTACCACTGGTGCCAACTCAGCCTACAGCAAAGGGACTCTTAATATATCGGATATCAAACGGAACATAGCACAGTACAATCTCCAACAAACCGTCTACAACGAAGATATTTTCGGGCCTTTACAAAACGATTCTGTAGTTATAGTAATCCAGGTATTGGGGTCAAATCAGTTGAAGGTTCAACTTTCAATTTTGCTACTTTTCCAGATACATGACCGCATAACTTATCTCCGACACCTTATTGTAAGTTTAGCCCAAGCTCGTGGTATTTCCCAAGCCCTTCTAGTCTTCTCGCATGATTTTTACGACGAAGAAATAAACAGTTTGGTCCAAAGTGTCGATTTTTGTAAAGTCATCCAGATATTTTATCCATACTCGATCCAAACACATCCGCACGAATTCCCTGGCGAGGATCCAAACGACTGTCCACGCGATATTAAACGAGAACAGTAAGGAACAAAAATGGTACTTTGTACCCTAACTATTGATATTCCAGGGCACTAATCCAGAAATGCAACAATGCCCTCTACCCCGACCTTTATGGTCACTATCGGGAGGCGAAATTCACCCAAACGAAACACCACTGGTGGTGGAAAGCAAACCGAGTGTTCAACCAGTTAGAAATTACTAGAAACCACACGGGACTTGTGGTATTTTTGGAAGAGGATCATTACGTAGCTGAAGACTTTATTTATATTTTGAGATTAATGGAGAAGACTTGCAAGGAGTCTTGCAAACACTGCAACATCCTCTCGTTGGGTACCTATCTAAAAACTTTTAATTACTACGGGGATGCTAAAAAGGTAACGAACTGCGATGTTATTCCAATCATCACACATTCTGTTACCATTAAATAACTTAACTGTGGATTAACAATGCTGCTTCAGCTGCAACTAAGTGTGTTTTACGTAACTCACATGTAAATACGTTGTAAAATTGCAGAAAGAGGCTTTGCGAGCTATCAAGCAACAATCTATTATTAGCGCAGGTCAAGTGCATCCCTCCTGGACATTCCAAGTGCTGCCCTCACTCTATCAGCACTCACAGAAGGTAGCTTCCGCTTGCCTTCATGTCGCTTTATGTGTACATCAATTTCATGTAATTTGCAGTTGCTGTAGCATTTTATTTACCATTAGTATTATTTTGACATTTAGCATGCTCAATCACGAATTTTGCAAGTCTTTAAAAGTGATGTTTTCAAGGTGGAAATAACACCTTGGATTAGTAGTAAGCATAACATGGGGATGGCGTTTAACCGCTCCACGTGGATGGATATAGTAGGCTGTGCTGATTATTTTTGCAAATATGACGACTACAATTGGGATTGGTCTTTACAACATATTTCGCAAAATTGTTTGAAACATAAATTCCATGCTATGGTGGTACGAGGTCCAAGAGTCTTCCATATTGGAGAATGGTAACCAAAGTTTTTGTTTAGATCATTGGATTAAAACGGGCTTTCAGTGGTGTACACCATAAGAAAAACAACTGTGAATCGACGGCTGTAATTTCAAAAGTTCAACAAGTGCTAAACACTGCTAAAAGACATTTGTATCCGAACTATTTAACACTAACGTATACAACACTTTTGAAGAAAACTAAATTAAGAAAGGGTAATGGAGGATGGGGGGACCGAAGAGACCATAAACTTTGTATGAGTATGACGCTTAGGTAGTTAAATTTTCGCATTTTGGTGATATTGAATTGATCTTTTCGATTTTTGAGAGCCAGGGGACTGATACGTATTGTTTTCATTATGTGCTTTAGTTAACATTGTTTCACCATAAAAACGTTATATTTTTATAACAATTTTGTTACATTTCATTTTAGTCAACATTTTATATCTAGTCTTAGTTATTGTTGCCAAGCGAAAACTCAGTCGGCTTCTACTTCATTTGCACAATAGGAGCTACTTGATTTTTTACTATGCAACAATCTATATATGTATATAAATGTGTCCATTTTGTTGCATATCTTTTTAAATACTCTTCCTGTCCAATTCTATGAATCTCTTGCCACTTTCTATATACATACACTCATTTTATCAGGAAGATGCTCAACTATTCATAAGTTTTTACTTACATGGAATAGCAAGTATTTCTTTCAATTCTAGTCATGTCTTGTAGCAGGACCAAAATTTTATGATGTCAAAGCTTAAAGTTGTTATTTTCGTTAAACGATGCTTTAGTGCAGTATAATGTTGTAACTCAGTTCAATGTCCAAAAACATGTAACTGTGTAGCGAATAAAACCATAGTCAGTTGAATTCTAGTTTTATTTCCCCAATTAGTTAACAAAAATAAAAAGGCAAATGGAAGGATCTTGTCAGGTCAAGGTTTTGAAAGTTAAAAGAAACACTATTTTAAACTATTAATCCTTTATTGAAGTTATTATGAATCGCTTTCAAAGCTAATGAAAAAAAAATAATAACATAAAACAAAAAACTGAACGAATAGAAAATACGGATTCAAGTCTTAACCCCCCAATTGTTTGTACAAAATTGGGACATAGTCGTCCCATTGGGCCTGGTAAAAGTTACCGGCTACCGGTTGTCCCAATTTGTATTTTTCTGCAAATTTTCTAATAGAAAAGCATCCGCGGTTATCTCCAGAACTAAAATTATTCCAATAAATCTATGCCGCTTTTAACGTTCTAAGGACATACGTATTGGGAAGTCGTTCCTCGTCGAAGTTAATTTTTCCATTTTGTTTGTAAATAAGGAAAACATAGCGGTGAAGTCCTGTGCCTTCTGGAGGTCCAGATCCTACATAGGCACTCAGGGTTTCCCCTTGGTTGACATTCCCACCTGGAATGTTACCAACCAACCAATGGTGCCACTCTCTGAACTTGGGATCCTTACGGCTGGGGGCATCTGGGTCTACACAAGAGGCGTTACAACCTAAATTATTCAATTTAGACCGAATTACCAGTCATGCAAAGGGTGTACAAGGCGTTATTATCAGCATTCCATTTGACACTTGGGACATCCTTGACTTGGGTCGGAGTTAACTCATTGCCCATGTCGACCTTGACGCCACTGGGATAAGTTACCTAACAGTACAAAAACAGGTTACTGGGCCCGGGAAGGGTTACGCGAGTTACCTCAGCTGTCGTTTCGGGCGCGACATCAATTACATCCGGGACTACGCCGTGTTTTTCCATGTTTTTTGCTACAGAAGAGAAAAAACGACTTGAAAATACCGATCTTCTAAGAGCAAACATTTTGCTGAAAAAATTTACTTAATAGTGGGGGGTGGGGGTGGAATTTAATTTTCTGCGGGCTTCTACACACGACAAGGATTAAACACAAAAAAACTTACCGATCTTTCCAGAACACAATCACAAGTTAAAAAATGACAGAAAAATGCCGGCTTTTGACCCAAAACACGCCACCTATTTTATGTAATATTACTACTACAGATTTCTTCCCCTATTGATAATATTTCGCAGTCGTGCTATTGCATAATAGATGACGCTTTTTATTATCTCAATAACGTACTTTTTTTGTGATGTTTTTAAATAACCGCCACTTTCGTGTTACATCTAACTGTATTAAATAAATCCGATTGGCAGTTATGACGTGAAATATTTGCACTTGTGAAAATATTACGGTACCTCAACGGTTAAATCTTTCTAGGAAGATATTTCCGTTTTTACCACTGATTGGTAGATGGCGCGTTTATGGAGTTAAACCGGTGAAAAAATAACGAATTTGTGGGGCAAGGGTTTAAAAAAAGTTGGTTTTGATGTGGAACAAAAATGTAATTATCATAAGTTATAAAAATATTAAAATATTGTACAGATCTATAATATTAAGTATCACTTTAAAAATCTATGATGCAACGGTTGGGTAAGCATCAGTCCGTCCAAATAGTGAACAAATCACATTCAAAGTAGTAAAAAATCCCCAGCCGTTGCATTCGAACACATTTGAATATGCTGAAGGATACAAAAAACAATACTGACACTTAGACTATACTAAACTAATAAAATGAACATAAAAATCTGCAAACAAACACCAGCGCAACAGCAAGGAAGCATAATGTACTGGTAAAGAAATGCAACATCACATCGTTATTGCTGTTCAAATTGCACATAAAAAAATAAATTAAAAAGGGGGATCAGAGTGATCCGTCGACTGTCTAAAAATAACAAAAAGAAAACTTTGGTGGTTTAGCATTGCAAAAGGAAAGATCTCATCTCGATGAATCTGGAGCAAGCTATTTAGGTACTCTCTTATATACAAGTTGTAATATACACTAAGAAGACTAAGTCTTCAGGATACATGCTAATATAGCACATTACTTTGTACATATCATTTGGCAAAACAAGTCCACGCACTTGTATTTTGTACTATCTCACAAATTTTGGCACTGGGATTCGATATTTACAGTCCGAGTCTTTTCAAATTGAGGCGACTCCCGGAACGTTGACGCGTATCAGCATTCCAAGTTTTGGATTTGAGCCTGAAATGTCGCAACTCATTTTCATGTTCCGGGTGTAGCATCTCCGTGTAGGCTATAGGAACGCACAAGTCGGAAAATTCCTCGAAAAACTTCTTATACCCACCCTCAAGCAAGTAAACTTCAGGGTAGTGCAACGAGGGGTAGACGTCCTGGTTCAACTGGCGGTCCTGTTCACGCAAATACCGATATCTGGAACCAACAACAGTGATTAACAAAGATACAAACTACCAGAATCAAAACTTACAAATCTGGACCTCTCTTGCTCGAAAATTCGCAATGAAAAACTAGGATATTGCTCCTTTTGCGCGGCTCTTTGCTCAAAGCCTCGACATTAGTCAGTAGTTCCATGCACTGCTCCTTGGTGTAGACATTAATGGCGCCGTCAATATGGCCACCTTCGTATTCATAAGGGTAGCGACAATCTATAACTTTAAAAGAGGCGACGTTTCCGTTAAAATCACCTCGGATGAGTTTAGCCAAAGTGTCAGCAGTGATACACTTCAAGTCCTGATGACGTCCTTGTGTTAACGGCAAACAAAACGTCTTGCTAAAATCCCCGATCAGGTCTGGTTCCACGAAAGACCTTTGAACCGCACACATGATACTCTCCTCGGTTGCGGAAATGCACCTCTGAAGAACCGGCTTTGGGACGGAAGGAACCGCCGCTTCATCCTCCTCAATCTTCTGTTTCTTCGAATCGGGACTTTCGAAATCTTGCGGAGGTTCTGGTCTTTTAAACGGGCGCGATTCTGCTGTTTTGAAGAGACAAGATCTCGCCCGGCTTGGCGGTGTCCTTTCATTTTGTAGGGACAAAGCCCGGCGAAATAAGGGCCGAATTGCTAGATCCCTTGGCGAAGCCGGTTTCTCTCTCCTGTTCTGGAAATTAATCGGTCCAGTGATCAATTTCCCGAAATCCTGCGGCAAGTTATCCTCCAACGGCTCGATGTCGGAAAAATCCTCAAAAAACGCATCCTCCATTGACCCAATCGAGGCCAGTTCAAACGACCCCCGAGTTGGCGAAGCATAAGTCGAAAATTTACCCTCATTGTAATTAGTAACGTAACCCGAATCGCGCGAATTGGGATCATGGTCTTCAAGGGGGCGCCGAGTTATAATATTGTGGTTGCAATGATTCGGTGAAGTCCCGGAACAAAGGGTTACCGGAGAACTCGAATTTCCGTAAAACGACAATTCTTCAATTTTGACCGGACTTAACGCTTGCTGAATGTTTTCTTTATCCAAACAAGAATCGTCCCCTCGTTTCGATCTGAAACAAAAATTCAACCTTGAATTAATCAAAACAAAACGAGCAGTTCCGGCCCTGTCCCCTCAAACGCAAAAACGACTTTCTCCCGCTTAAAACTGAATTTTGAGTGTCCTTGCCACATTTTATCACCCAAAAAACGGCTAATCACAAATTTAAAAAAAAAACGGTTATCAGGACATTTTAATATGTAAGGTTAAACTAAGGGTTGTTTGCAAAATCCAAGGGGTAGTTACCTTGGAGGGCACTGGCAGACATCACAAGAATCCGTGCTTATCGAATCCCACATTGTCGGAAAAAACGGTGAAATATCCTTAAAACGTCTTAAAATCTAAACACAAGCAACAACACTCAAACCAGGACGAGATACGTCCTCGCACACCACACGAACGCGACTTGGAAGTGAAGGTAGCCCACCTCAGTCTTTATCCTTCCACTCGCCCCACATCAGTAGTGGGGAGTAGGGATAGGGCAAGGGCGCCAAAATAAGCAAGAGAGGGGCGCCTGGGAAAGAAAAATTTTTACCACAGTCACCCTTTCCGCATTTTTGGAAATAAATCCAGTTTCTTTACAAAACTTGCGGCTAATTTGGACCAGAGTCTTGGGAAAAAACAAGAATTAGAATTAATCACGTAATATTTAAATATTACCTATTGAGACTTACAAATTATCCAAATTAATTTCATTTGATTTGTTAATCGTTAATTTTTTGATTTATTCCTCCTCTTTTGCATCACAATAAAATTGAAATGTGCGATTCTGAGCCTAATAAACGTTTAATTTTTGATTTTATTAAAGTTTAGTTAAACATTTGGTTGCCGAGGCCAGAATCTGATCGAAAATTGTTATCCTTGAGTGAACATAGCGAGCTAAATAGTTATGATGTTGAGTATCTTTTTTCAGTTTCATATTTTTTCGAGTTTTTGAGCGGTAGTAAAATCGTAAAAATAGTCAATTTAAAAACACTTGAAATATGGTTTTCCAGACGTAAAATTACACGCAACTAGTTAAAATACTCTACGATGCATAGTTTTTGAGATATTGAGTAATAAGGTTAAAAAAGCATCCGATTTTGACCAAAAAATCAAATTTGAGATATTAATTTTTTATTCCTCCTCTTTTGTATCACAATAAAATTGAAATGTGCGATTCTGAGCCTAATAAACGTTCAATTTTTTGATTTTATTAAAGTCTAGTTAAACATTTGGTTGCCGAGGCCAGAATCTGATCGAAAATTGTTATCCTTGAGTGAACATAGCGAGCTAAATAGTTATGATGTTGAGTATCTTTCTTCGCAGCTGTTGAGCGGTGACTTTTTGCATTTCAGTTTCATATTTATGTAGCACATGTTGATAAATTTATTTATTTAAAATTGATACAGTTTTGTTTATCCTAATCGGCGGAAATGAGGGCAAATAAAGTCAGTAGTGAATAATATTTTCGTTGAATGGAGAATACAGGGCTGTATTACGTACGAAATATTTATATTTGAGGCATGTTTACGTGATAAGTGTAGAATGTGTTGAATTTGCATGAAGCAATCTTGCGTTTAAGACAGTTCTGAAATCTGAATAAGTGTTATCAGAGTGAGAAGTCATATGCCCCCGATAGGAAGAGATCATAGGATCATTCGCGTGAGAATAATGTGTTCCCTGTCGTGACATGGGAACTGGGCGAACAATTGGATCATTGTGCGAAATGGGCAGACTGGATACAGGAAAATTTACCTTTATCCCAGCAAATTACCGACGTTCCCACCTCTACCTGTTTAGGTCATCCCCAACACATTTGCATATTTTTGCTTAATTTACACAAAATCTATTCACTTTCGGTATGGGTTAAAAGATAAAAGAATCACTTCTTCGAAAGTAATTAGTTATCTTGCGTTTAACAGTTTCGGTAGAAAGTCAATTTCAACG